AAAACATTCTTACAGATGCATTCTGGGGCACTTTGTGCAACTATTTCTCTGAGTCTATACCTACAAGCTGAGCTGGTAGGCTGTGGGGAATGTTCAACTTCTCAAATGAATGTTTTTTTCACATAGATATACCAATTGACACTTCCACCAGCAATTTATGAGTAATCTTATTAAAATTCTCTGCAAAACATTTGACTTCGTTGGGCTTAATTTTTGCCAGTTGAATTTAAACCTGTCACTGTGGTCTTTGCTTTCCCTGTTAATAATTGAAGACCATTTAATAGTTTATTAGTCCACATGCACTTCCAACTCTGTAGAGACCTGTTCCAGCCATTTCCCGTTGTTTTTTTTTTTTGATTTGTAGAATTTCTGGATATATTCTTGATACTCATCTATTTTTGGTTGTTTTGCAAATATCTTCTCATAGCTTGTAGTTTGGCTTTAACATTCCTTTTGACAGACAGAAGTTCTAAATGAACAATTTATAACATAGCACAACTTACTTCTCTCATGGTCATCTTTTATGGTTTCTTTTGATTTAAGAAGTTCTTAGAAGCAGATTAGGAAGGTATCCACCTGTATTTTCAAAATATATTTCACCTATAATTTCAACTGTATTTTCTACATCAGAAGTTCTACAGTTTCAGGACATTTAAAGAGTTGTTTTTTGTGTATGGTGTAAGGAAAAGATCCCATTTCATATGTTCCTTTGTCAGCTCCATTAAATGATTAGTCCTGTCATTGACCTACCATGTCTTCTCTGACATTATGAAATTTACAAATACATGTGGGTCTACTTTGGAGTTCTCTATTCTATCCATTGGCCATTTTCTCTATTTCTGCATTGTGTCACACTTTCTTAAATACTTCAGCTTCATAAAAAGTCCTTCTGGTAGGATAAACACTTCCTCCTTTCTTGTTCTTCAGAAGTGCCTGGGTCATTCTTCATCCCTAACTCTCCCACATAAATTTTGATCAGTTTGTCAATTCAAGCAGAAATTTTGGGATTTAGTTTGGAGATGCACTAAATCTACACTTTCATTTTTTAAAAAAATATTGTCCTTCTACTCATGAACATAGATCACTTTAGTCCTCTTCAATGTTTTTTTAGTAAAGTTTTATAAATTTCTCTCCCCAGACCGGGCACATCTTTGGTTAGATTACTACGTACTTCAGAATTCTTTTTGCAATTGTTTGGTGTCTTTCTAAAAATCTTATTTTCTAACGGTGGCTGTATATAAAAAGTACAATTCACAAATATATATTGATTCTATATTTAGCCACCTTACTAAACTCTCCAATTATGTCTAATAATTTGATGGAAGACTTTATTTTCTATGTAGACAATCATACCATGAGTTTTTCTTCCTTCCCAATCACTGTATCTTTATTTTCCTCATCTTGCTGCACTAACATTTACAGTGCCATTTTGAATATGAGTAATCATATTTGTTCCATTGTTGATTTTAAAGAAAATGCTTCTAAAATTTCCCACCTTAGGATGGTGTTTACTATGATTTTTAAAGATATCCTTTATCAAGCTGAAAAGATTACTAAATTTTTTCTGCATCTATTGATCTGATGGTTTTTCACTTTTATCCTGTAAATGTGAATTAGATTTATACATTTTCTAATACACCATTTAAAAAAATTTTTAAGTAATCTCTACACCCACTGTGGGGCTCAAACTCACGACCCTGAGGTCAAGCAAGAATCGCATGCTCTACTGAATGGGCCAGCCAGATGCCCCTCTAATATACCATTTTTGCATTCCTGGGATAAATGCCACTTGGTTGTGGTGTTACATTGTTTGCTATTGCATAGCTACTCATGACAAAATGGACCTATAATCTTCCTTTCTTGTATTAACTGTCCCAATCTGGTTTTGCTATCAAGGTTATATTGGTTTTTGATGTATGAAACGTAGTTCTATTCTCCAGAAGAATACATATAAGATTAGAATAACTTATTCTTTAAAGTTTGTTAAAGTCCTCTACACCTAGAGTTTTATTTGTGAGAAGATTTTTAACTACTCCTCTCCTTGAATAGTAATAGTACTGTTCAGGCTTCTGATTTCTTTTTAATCAAAATATAACATTTTCTACGAATTTTGCCCCTTTGCTTAAATTTTCAAACATATTGGGATGTTGTTCTCACTATTCATGTTTAATATCTGTAGTATCTACACTGACATACCCCTTTTCACTCCTGGTATGGGTTATTTGTATATTTTTTTCTCCGTGATAAACTTGACAGAAATTTTTGTCTACTTCGTTCATCTTTTCAGTCAACATACAACTTTGCTGATCCTCTGTTGCATCGTTTTCTATTTCTGTTATCTCCTTCCTTTTATTTTGTCCTTCTGTAACTGAACACTTAGCACATTTAAAAAATATGATTTAAAGCTGTGTATAACACCCAGTGCTCATCACATCACATGACCTCCTTAATGCCTATCACCCAATTATGCACCTGATAAATTATTGAACTACATCTGAAACTAATGATGTACTACATGTTGGTTAATTGAATTTAAATAAGACTTAAAGCTACAAAATTTCCCTTGAAGCACTTTCATTTTTTAATTGAAGTACAGGTGACATATGAATGTACAACACAGTAATTCGACAATTCCATATATTTAGTCACTGTCACCAAAGTTATAATATTGACTATATTCTCTATGCTGTACTTTTCATCCCCGTGACTAATAACTGAAGTTTGTACCTCATAATCCCCCTCACCTATTTTGTCTGATGCCCACTCCCCTCCTAGCATCCACCAGTTTATTCTCTGTATTTGAGTCTGTTTCTGTTCATTTGTTTTTTAGTTTCCATATTTAAGTGAAATCATACGGTATTTGTCTTTCTCAGATTTATTTCACTTAGCATAATACCTGCTAGCTCCATCCATGTTGTCGCAAGTGGCAAGATTTCATTCTTTTTGATGGTTGAGTAATACTCCTGTGTATGTGCACGCATGTGCGCATGCACACACATCTTATCCATTCATCCACTGATGGACACTTAGGCGGCTTCCATTAATTTGGGTATTGTAAAATAATGAGGCAATAAACACAGAGGTGTAGGGGTGCATATATCTTTTTGAAGTAGCGTTTTCATTTATTTGGGGTAAATACCCAGTAGAAAATTTATTCTATTTTTCACAGTGGCTGTACCAATTTACATCCCCACCAAGAGTACACGAGGGTTCCCTTTCTCTACATCCTCATTAATACTTACAATTTTTTTATACTAGCCATTCTGACTGGTGTAAAGTACCATTTCATTGTGGTTTTGCTATTTGCCTGATGATTAGTGATTTGAGCATCTTCTCATGTGTCTGTTGACCATCTCTATGTCTTCTTTGAAAAAAATGTCTATTCAGGACCTCTGCCCATTTTTAATGAGATTAGTTTTTTAATATTGAGTTGTCGGAGTTCCTTATATATTTCACATTTGGTATTATTAGTCAGCCCTAGTATTTTTAAATTTCTTCAATTATTACTGTTATTTTCTTACTAAGTCTTCTTGGTGAACTCAATTTTTAGCATTAGATAACACCCATCTCTATCCCTACTAATGCTTTTGTTTTAATGTCTGTTTTGTCAGATAATAGTGTATGTAACTACACTAGCTTTCTTTTGGTATTTTCTTTTCCAGGCTTTTATTTCAAACTTTCCATGTCCTTATGCTTTGTGTATAAATATATCATTTCCATATCACACTATTCGTTTCTCTACTTGGTCTTTTTTTCTTTGGTCCTTCATATTTAATTGGTATCTCTCTCTCCCATCTAACAAGACTGGAACTTTAATTACCCTCACAATCTCTGGTGTCCTCCCACTGCCACTGTGTTGATATTGTAGAGAATTTTAATTCTAGATTGTTATATACTTTATTTTCTTTAGCCTTACCTTTTATTTATTCTTTTAAAGTCATCAACAAACTCCACAAGTATCTCCTTTCTTTTCCCCCAAATCTCTTGTAGCATCTCTTGGATTTGTTTCTCTTCATACTTAGGTACTTTCTCCAAAAGTGTTTTTAATTTGCATCTTTGTGTGGAAAATTTTCTGAAGTTTTCAAAGTCTGAAAACATGTTTATTACGCCCTCACATTTGAATAACTATTTATCAGGACATAAAATTCTAGTTTCAAAGTTCTTTTCATGTTCAATTTCAGATTCCTGAGCCGGGCCTGGTAGTGATGGTTTCTACCACACCATATCATTCTCAAATATCCTTTTGTCTGTAGACTCCCACCCATCCTGGTGATTGAATCTTCTACAGGAAAGATTGACCAAATCTTTGAGAACAGAATTGAAAACAATGCCATCTTCAGAAAACTAGGTCTCTCATACAATGCTGCTGTAAAAATAAATTTGTTCAACTTCTGTAGAGGACAATTGGCAAAACAGATCAAATATTTTAAGATACACATATACCCTGACCTAACAATTTTACTTCTAGGCAAGTGTACATGAAGGAAACAACCCAACACTGTGCAAAGAAGTATGCATAAGGATATTCATCACAACATTATGATATGAAAAAAAATTAAGCTAATTTCCAAACAAATTATATTAACATCCTATAATCAAAACCATGTAGTGAGTGATTAAAGACATGTAGAAAAAATATTTAAGAAGAAAGTCTACTTTTTGTTTCAGAAATATGCATATGTAGGTAGAAAATATCTGAAAGCTGGAAGGTTCTTCAGAAATACTAACAGTAGCATTCTCTAGATGGAGAGATTAAGCACTTTCTGGTTTCTTCTTTTTGCCTTCTTTAAATAAAATCCTTCTTTGAAGCCCAATCTACAAAACAGACAAAAATAGAGCCATTCTTGCAGGGGGACAGAGCTGATCCTGTCTGCTTAGCCTTCTTCCTTGCCTCTCAAAGGCTGCTGTGCAGTTTGAAAACTGTAATTCAATACATTCAGTTTACCCTACATGCCATGTCAGAGCTAGAAGAGAAAGCAAAAACATATTCAATCTAACACTGACGTATTTTATTTAGCTTTTTTTTTTGCAACTCTAAATTACAATCACTAGTACACCTATAATTCTTTATAGTGTGTTCAACTAGAGAGTAAGCAGACACAGCAGAGGTCAATTTAAAAGAAATCACAGTACTTCTTAGTGTAATCTGCAAAAGAGAGAAAACGTCTTGGGCCCACTCCTTGGAAATAAATATCAAGTAACCATAAAAATATTCAGCCATTTTCCAGGTATTCAGGGAGGTTCATGCATGGTCCCAGGCAGAGCATCAGAGTTCCTCTTTGAAATATCCCAGCTTTGCCAATGACATCTCTTTTCTCAACTGCATAACTTCCCAAAACATCTGATCAACTATACAAATAGAAAAGGAGACACGTAAATCATAAAGTATCATTTTAATTATTTTTTAGCTGTTTTGCTGAAAATTTAACATTTGCTGAAGTGCCAACTGGGCATTTCCTAACGACATACCTAATGCCTCACCATTTTACTGCTAATTCACAGAAATTTTTTCAGGTATTTGTGAGCATACCAGTTTTATCAATAAATGAACAATATTCACCTATTTGTTAGATACATCCATGACCGCTTTAGTCCAGCAGCATCTGCTTCAGTGCCCTGAGTAAACGGCGATCATGTTGCCGTTTTAAGTAATTACACTCAATCCTCAATTATTCTAACTTAGGGGTCTTCTTACGTTAGTTTGCTACATCTTGGCCATTCCACTGTTTATTAACACCAACACAGAGTAAAACAGGAAAAAATGGAAAACAAAAGACAGTCCAGGGAACTCAGTAACATTCTTTTTGAGAAATAACCGAGAAAATGGTTTTGTATGTGGCTCAAATTAGAAATAAAAATAAATGTAGAGGCATTATCTCTACTTTGGCAAGCCCTCCCTGTAAGTGGAAAAAAGTTGGCTTTATATTTCAGATAAAAAGTCTTCCTTTGACATATCACCAGATTAGAGATTGATTTAGATCAGTGGTTTTCAACCAGTGGAGATTTTCTTTCCTCGAGGATACATCTGACAAAACGTCTGGATACATTTTTCATTACTGGCATCTACTGAGTAAAGCTCAGCAATGGTGTTAAACATCCAACAATGTACAAGATAGCACCCCCCCACAACCGCCCCCAACAAAGTTTATCCAGCTCAAAATGTTAATAGTACCAAGCTTCAGAAACCCTGCTTTAGATTTAGCTGCCCTAAGTCCTTTTTGGCACAAGGCATGGATAATACACATATTTTAAAATTAGTAATATTTATCTCTACAAACCCACACATTATATGAAATGTAACAAGTACCATGAAGTGGAAGAGTAACAGAAACCAGAGAAGAGGCCACTTTTATCACCATCACCCCCAGTACTACTCATGACAGTTTCTCCCTATTTTCATAGAGGAGATTATCTTTCATCTTCCCTACAAAAACTTATTTTAACAAGGAGAAAAAACACACTTGACAATTTAACTTAACGTAAATCATCTGTTCTGTAGCTTAAATCCTATTTATTATCCACCAACAGGTATTCAAAAATATTTCAATTTTATTAAAGTCATAAAAAGTATTGTACACTTTAAAGACTACGTTATGCTACTCAGCCTTTTGAAATTCAACATTGAGAGGTTTCACTCTCATTCTTTTAGGCATTAAAAATCTAATTATATGGGATTCTAAATAAATATAACTCTTCTCAACATACCAGACCTTTGAAATGCTAAATTAAGTTTTTATCAGCATGACTAACCTTTCCACAGAATTAAGATTCACTGGTTTACATGGTGGAAGATAGCAGGCTCCTTCTAGTTTTTAAATATAAAACTACTTTCAGTCCCTGAAAAAATATGAATAGGAAATTTCCTACAACTTCAAATACAAAATAGGTATGGACTTATCCCTAGCTTAGGATCTGCTACTTGTTTTAAAACAATCACGTGTATTCAAGAAACACTGCTTTGGAGTTGTTGGGCCATATTCATTCTCATGCCTGGCATTTAAGACATTTGGCTTCAGAATCATCAGTAAACATGAAAGACTATATTAAAAATATTCAAACACTTGCATGAGGTTGGCTCTCTCGGATATATCATCTATATGTTTCAGCTGATTCAGAATATAGTAATCTTTATTCCATTCGGACCTATCCTCATCACTGCTTTATTAATTCACATGTAAAAGTACAAAATACAGAAAAAATTATTGTTAGAGCAATAAAATAAATCTGACCATGTCTAGAGCTTACTCATTTTTATTTCTTAGGAGCAATTTCAATAAGCTTTTTACTCCCCTTTCGCCATGTGGTTTATCAATATACTACCCTTAAGAGTTACAACTGATTCTGCTTAAAACTCCTATCAGAGTAAAATGAGGCAGTTTTAAGGGTTAAATACATTTTAAAAGACATTAGTTCCCAAATCCTCCATACATTTTATAACTATGAGAGATTCAATATGAATGTACCAATAATAAAGTTTATTTGAGCATTACTACTGTGTTCTATACTTTTTGCTGAAGGTTTATGTAAATATTTTGTAACCAATGAAGAACACTCACCATCCTGCTGTTTCACGAGCCCCTGCTGAATATATCGAATGTATGTAAAAAAGTTACATACAGAGGTGATCTAGGCCGAAAGGGAAAAAGTCATAGTCAAACTTCTCATATCAAAATGAGTTTTGTTCCTATCAAAGTGGTTCAGTTACTTACCCTGTATCTGCAAAAAGGAGAAATATAATAATAGTTGCTTGAGTCCCCTAATTTAATTCTGTGTTTACAGGATTTACTCTGGCCAGTTAGAGCGCATTTTCTGTAAAACAATGACAAAATTTTAGTTTTTTTAAATTGAAAGGGGTGCCTGGGTGGCTCAGTCGTTAAGCGTCTTTGGCTCAGGTCATGGTCCCAGGGTCCTGGGATCCAGCCCCACATGGGGCTCCTTGCTCAGCGGAAAGCCTGCTTCTCCCTCTCCCACTCCCCCTGCTTGTGTTCCCTCTCTCGCTGTGTCTCTCTCTGCCAAATAATTAAGTAAAATCTTTAAAAAACATAAAATAAAATTGAAAGCATTCTGCTCCTACCTTCTGTAGAAGTTTCATACTAAGACAACAAATATTTGAGACCTAGTACATACCAGGCACTATTCTAGATGCACACGGGCCTGAGAAATACAAAGGAATAAGCCACCTTACAAAAATACTGACTCTCAATAATTATATAAGGGGTGCACTATATTCAGACATACCATCCTTTCTGTTTGCACACTACCACAGACTCTCAGACTTGGTATGATGGCTTTCTGGTTGGAATGAGGCTATCAGTCTCTAAAGGGCAGAGACTGTATCTAATTCAACTTTAACTGCCAGGCACTGAGCAGGTGCCTGGTACACACCAGATATTCAATGACTGTTGGTTAAGTGACGAGCCAGCCGTCACTCTACTGCTCAATACAGTGATGCTGGCTTGTCTATCAGGGCAGACTGTGAAGCAGCCCAGCTATTACCCTCCTAAGCTAGGACCATGGCTGAATACAACTACCATGCACTATCAAGCCAAAATGAGTACAGCTGTAACTAAAATAAAGTGGCCAACAGGATTTTAAATAACATTATAGGGGGTGCCCTGGGTGGCTCAGTTGGTTAAGCATCTGCCTTTGGCTCAGGTCATGATCCCAGAATCCTGGGATCGAGTCCCGCATTAGGCTCCCTGCTCAGTGTGGAGTCTGCTTCTCCCTCTGCCTGCCGCTCCCCCTGCTGGTGCACTCTCTCTGTCAAATAAATAAATAAAATCTTAAAAAATAAATAAATAACATTATATTTTTTTATTTTTTATAAAGATTTTTATTTATTTATTTATTGAGAGAGAGCGAGAGAATGGTAGGGAGAGAGCATGAGAGGGAAGAAGATCAGAGGGAGAAGCAGACTCCCTGCTGAGCAGGGAGCCCAATGTGGGACTCGATCCTGGGACTCCAGGATCATGACCCGAGCCGAAGGCAGTCACTTAACCAACTGAGCCACCCAGGCACCCAATAAATAACATTATAAATTACAAAGAAAAATATGTTACATGAACATTAAATTTCAGCTATACTTAAAAGAAATGATACAAATGTGCCCCCATATTAAGAAAACAAATGGAGACTGTGTATTTAAAATAGGATGATTCTGGGGGTGCCTGGGTGTCTCAGTTGGTTAATCGTCTGACTCTTGGTTTCAGCTCCGGTCATGATCCCAGGGTTGTAAGACTGAGCCTCATGTCAAGCTCCATGCTCAGGGTGTAGTCTGCTTGAGATTCTCTTCTCTCTTCCTCCTCTTTCTCCCTCCCCCAGTTCACACGCTCACTCATTCTGTCTCTAAAATGAATAAAATCTTAAAAAAAAGAAACTTTATAAATAGGATAATTTTGGAGATGGCCATTCCGACCACAAAAGAATTCTCATATTTTCAAAGGAAGTTTGCTTCATTGTTCCTTTCTTAGAAAATTCCTTTAATGATCTACAACAATATTTTTAAAACACTACTAGCTTAGGAAGGATAGAAGATCAAGAAATTAAAAAATGGCACAAGTGTTGGAAGTCCTTGGAACTTCCAAAAGTACAATTTACACAAGAAGGAAAAGTAAGCACTTAACTGATAAAAATCAATGTATACACTACTCTTCTGGAAAAAGACATATACCTATCTGTCTAGTATTCTAATTTTGAAAGGGCTTTGCTAAAGTCGTATTAAGCATCAACTTCTGAAATAATGAAAGTGTTTCTTACCTCATTTCTAAAGCCATCTTTGAACTGTCACGGCCAACACATTCTTATTTCAGCTAAGGTTCAATGTCAAGTCTTCTGATCTCCAAGGCCAGAGTTCTGTTAACATGCTACACTTCCTCAGTACCTCTTAGCAGCTCTAGTCCCCAGATTTTAAACCCTTACCTGGCATTTTCACTTGGTGATGTCAACATTGTCTAAATCTAGACCTGCCCAAACCAGAGCCCTTCCCACTAAGTTCCGAAATGTCACACCATTCTTCCAGTCGGCCATCTTTAACTCCTTTCCTGTTACCATCCCCACCTGAATCTCTTCCTCTCCAAAGTTCTCTTCAGATTTGTCGTATCTTTCCCTCCATACACTCACCAGCCTCTGAACACAGTTTGTTTCCAGGCCTTCAGTCGTATGTACTCTTCTTTACCCAAATTCCACTCCTGCTTCAAAAACCCAGATCAGATTTTCCTCCGAGAACACCCCTGATCACCACCCACGGGATGGGTCTTGGCTTCCCCAAAGTTCCTACAGCATGTGCCATTCACGTTGTGATTATCTTCCCCACCTAGTCCATGAGAGCCTTGGCCAGGGCCGAACTTCACATTTCAGAGAAGAGAACATCTTCCTGAAGTTTCTCCAACATGTACTCCAAACACCTTGGCATCTAACCCCATTCCTTTAAGCACAATATCCCTAAACTACCTAAACTGTTCCCTAAACCTAATCTATGTGATTATTTTACTAAAATACTATATAAATCCACTAACTGATATCCTCATTTGTCATCATTTGATATTTGCACATGTGTTTTATATAATGCAAGTAGAAATTTAAAATTCTATAATAAAAACTGCTATATACTATATTTAAAGTAAGGTATACAGAGACCTTAAAAGCACAAAAACTGTTATCACTGATGATCAGAATAAAAATATTCGGGAGCTTGTGGAAAGAGTAGAATTTAAAGATTTTATTTATTTGACAGAGACAGCGAGAGAGGGAACACAAGCAGGGGGAGTGTAGAGGGAGAAGCAGGCTTCCTCCTGAGCAGGGAGCCTGATGTGGGGTTCGATCCCAGGACCCTGGGATCATGACCTGAGCTGAAGGCAGACGTTTAACTGACTGAGCCACCTAGGTGCCCCAAAGGAGCAGAATTTAGAAATTGTAAATCCCTTCCCCTAGATTCAGAGGGCACTGTGCCACAGTCATGGCATGGAAGGAGTGTGGCGGATGTTTGGCTCAGAAAGCAAACATGTGACCAGGTACTCCCCACAGACAGCTACCTGAACACTAACACTGTGTGATCAGGAAGAACCACATGACTCCTACAACAGGCTTTCACACAGACCTATTAGTTCATCTCAGTCAGACCTTTTCTCTTCTGCCTTTACTATGACCCAGACAGGAGTCAATTCCTGCTTTCTAGGAGCTTTCTCAGACTTTCCAGTCCCCTATACAGACCTAGTTCTTAACACCAACTAAACAGCTTCCTCCAACTCTTTCCGTCACTTCGCAAACAGCTTTGCCAAAAGTTCTAGGAACCACTGGTTTCAGTCTTTCCTCCTCCTAGGACTGGAGAGTAAAAAGCCTGCCCTGCTATGAAATATGGGAGTCTTACCTCTGAAGGTTTATAACTGCCAAGTGTCTGTCATGTATGAAAGATAGAACTGGTTATTTACCAAAGTGAGAATCCTTTATATGACAGAATGAAAGGGGAGGATTACAGAAGTCTTTTTGGCACCCTGTTTTCATGCTTGATAAGACCTGGTCTAATTCACTATCTTCCCAAACTATTTTTAGTGGCAACCCTCAGGAAGAAATATTTTACACCAAAACCTATATGTATGTATAATAAACAAAAATTCTGCTTATGACCCACTAAGCTGATTTTATGAATTGAATGAGTCACAACATATGGTATAAAAAAATATTTCTAATACCTAGTCCAAAATATATGTATATTTTTGTAATTAAAAGGGCTCTCCTTTGATGATAAATTTGAAATACTATATCTCACACTGAGGATTTGTCTTTAGGCTGCACAAACTAAACAGAAAGCTAACAAGAAATTTAATCACATTTAAAACTAGAAAAACTAAGTATTTACAACATATAAAATTTTTAAAACTCAGTGTCTTCCACAAGACATGGTTCTGAAAACGTACTTTGGTCCTCCACATTCGACTGCAGAAGCTTTCACAAATCGAACAGGCTGTAATCCCACCGGTTCAATGCTTAGAGTATTGTTTTCCACAGCCTCCAGAACAGCTGAAGCCAACTTCAAAAAAACAAAGTATCAGATACTATGCTGGCATAAGAATATTAAAATTGCATTCTACAGTAAACTGGATTTTAAAAAATGATTCTTTCCCCAAGCTCCACTAGTTTGGTCCTAGGCCAATGAAAAAGAAATTACATAATCTTGGTTTGAATTCCTTTATAATTCAAATATCGTTATGAAAGGCAATTCAGTTATAGCTAAGTAACTTTTCTCATTATTTAGAAGAGGATTGAGGGCATTAATTCCAATCTGTCCATCTCTTACCCACAATTCACATCCATTATTAATGCCACTTCAAAATGAATACCCTAATGTTTTATTTGCTAAATTTATACATATTTTTAAATACTGGTCATTCATAACACAGCAATATATACAATTACAGCTATGTATTTTCTGAACTTGTATTTATGTGCACAAGAGTGACCTACAAAGAACTAGCTGGATTATCAAATATTAAATGCCCAGATGGAGATGGTAGCAACTGATCAACAATAGATGAAACCGGCAAATTTCTTCAGTCGGGCAAGACTACTAATCTGGAAATGGACTACCCAAAAACAGACACAGAGCCACAATGAATAACATGTACCTATCAAAAGTGTCTTACTGTCCATTTTAACTTCTCCTTACAAGTAATGTTAAAATTAAATCTTCTACAGACTTAACATAAGATTCTTAGGATTACATTTCTTAAACAGTGATTGACAGGGTATTTATAGACAAGCCTTCTACATGTAAGAACAAATTAAAATGATGACTTTACATTTGTATAGTACCTTGTATTTTTTAAAAGTTTTTGTATGTACTTAATTCACTTCATTTCATCCTCTTAACAACCCTGTGACATAAGGAAGGCATTTTTTTTCCTGTTTTAAAGATGAAGAAATTAAATATGATTTTTTGTCATGTACAGATAAACCCAATAAACGCCTTGGAGTGTACAGAATTTCCCTAACACTGAACCTCAGACCGAGAATCAAGAAATAAGCCTGACCCCTGATTCACATTTACTACTTCACTCTGGTGCAACACATACTTCACTGGGAATGAGCCTCTGCTCAAGTTAAGCAAAGATGTTCAGTAACTGAATGCCAAGAAATGATTGTGATCTTTGTTTGGAATGGAGAAAATGATAAAACATGACATGTTATTATAACTTATTCATGTAAGAGAAAATATATAAACATGATTTAGCAAAAGGTACAGGAACAACTTTAATGTATTACTATTAAAATTAAAAAAAAATTACCTCACTTTTTGAGAATGTTAAACATGGAAAGATATCTTCCTGATAAATTTTGTCTAAGAAAGGACATGATCTATCCATTGTAGGATCATCCTTCCAAGATCTGAATTCATTATACAGAGATAAGTCAGCCTGACAAACAAACCAAAAGAAAACACAAAATCTTTTTAAAGGTACAAACATAAAATCACTTTATAAAACCAAAACCTAATATAAACATTACTGAAAAAGAAATCTTCTTCATTTAAAATAATGAACTGAACCATTCTTGATGAGTTACAAAACATGGTACCAACTTTTTTAAAAAAAAATCCAAACCCCAAATGACTGACTAGCTCTTTTCAATGGATCTACTATGGTGTCCAATGATCTACCTTGATCCCCACCCACTCCCCAAAAATGTTAGAGCTCCTCTAAAGCACATGTGCACACTTCTCTGAATATAAAACAAGTGATGAGAAGTCTTTCCTGAAAATAATCAAAAAGTAATCTGGAGCCAAGTTAATTAAATAGAGTGTCTGAATAAATGGAGACTAAATTGTGAAACCTAGTTTGGGTCAAAAATGACAATAATTGTTCTGCTATTACCTGAGGGCATTTTCAAAAGAACTCTGAAAATGTTTACTATATAAGCAGCAAGACTAAAAGCAGCACATATATAATCTCCTAACCTATCTTAAAACACACTTATTAAGATACATTTTGGCACAGCGACTGTCTGAATGACCAACAATAATGCAGGCTGGCACCCATCTTCCTAGTCCCTCTTCCAGTTGTTCCTCTTTTCCCCTCCTCCCTTTAATAAATTTTCCCCAAGTATTCTTCCCTCCAGATGCCCTCTACTTAGCTCAATCCTACCTGTCACATAGAGAGCCACACCTGCCCCCGGCTGCCCACTCACGGCAGTGCCCCTCATCCTCCTGCAGCCCTAAGCCACTCTCACCCAGAAGAGCTGGGCACACCATAAATGATACCCTGACCGCAGCTATGGCCTTTAGGAGAGCCTAACCTCACGTGCCGGTGATTCACATGATGGTAATAAAAGGCTGAGTGTATCTGAGCTTTCCTACAGACTTTCTTTTAAGGTGTATAATGGCAACTTCAGCGTGAATTTTTTTCATCCCAATCCATAAATTTTTTGAATCAAAACTAAAGGCAAAAGATTAAAAAAAACAGCAGACAAATAATACTTACATTTCCAAATTCATTTTCTTTGTAAAGTTTACGCTTCAATGGACATAAACCCCAAGGCAGGTAAGTGGTACTCTACGGAAAGATTCTAGTTCAAAGGCAGTCATTTAAACTATTAAGAGCTGACCCTGCACCAGGAACTGGCAAGCGCTCCACAGACACTTAATCCTCACAGCCGAGCAAGACAGACACTATGATCTTCATTTTTTTTTTAGATGAGAAAACTAGGGCTTAGAGAGGTAAATAACTTGCCCGAGGTTACAGATCAAGACACCTGTAAAAGTTCAAATTCGTGTCTAAGTGACTCGATCACAAAGCCTTGCATAACGCGTGTGCGTGTGTGTGCGTGTGCACTTGCACAAACGTGTGTTTTAAGTGCTTTCAGAAGCTATGCTGCAAATGTCGTTTCTGACTGCCTGTCACATTTTCTACAGAAACATGGACATGGTTCACTTTCTTTCCAAATGTTTTACCTTTTTCTAAGGCTTACACAGGTCAACCTTATGTGTGTCCTTTGTCTAATAAAACTTTTTGATAAGTTTTCACAAAACATTAGAATACAGAATATATCTGAAAAGCAGAAAGTTATTCTGAAGTTGCTTGCTGCCTATTCATATTTCGTGAGACCTCATAAATTAAAAACAAAACTTTAAAATGTCCCATGAGAAAACATTTAAATTTTGTTAGTGTAAACAACAGAAAACAAGGCATATAATCATACACACTGAGAAACTGCAGCAAAATACAAGTTGTACCAAGCAATTAAAAATGCTAATTAAATTCAAAGAAATTAAAGTTATGACTAAAAAAAGTTTCTGAAATATTTAACACCAACATGGATTTTAGATTCTGTCACATTCAGATTTGGCCACGTATTGAACTTCTCTCTCACTAGCACCTTTTTTATTAATAAGTAAACAAAATCCAATTCAGTTAAAGTAAGTAATGACCTTGATTATTCAATTTAATAAAATCCTGGCTTCCACACAAAAACTTAACCAAATGAGCAGATTCAGCTTCTTAAAGATCAATGATGAACCTGAATACAACAATGTAAAATACAGCTTTTCAGGAAAAAAAAGAGGGAAGGGCTCCATGATCAATCCCCTTGGAAATGCTTTCTCATAGCATGCAATGATAAAATGAAAAAATATTTTATAATTATACAATTTTTACTAAAAACAGCTCAAAATATCTCCACAGCATCTCAGTTACCTTCACAACACATCTTTTAAAAATGATAAGGCTACCATTAGTTCTACTTTTTGTTGCTTAATTATCTGAATTAACTCAAGACCCTCTTACTGATATAAAACTCTACCTCCCCCAGAGTTTAAGTAAAAGCAATGTACTGTTCAAGAAAATCACCTTATTTTCACACATTTCTTATATTCATATTGTTAGAGTATCTTACCAATAAATTCTGACTAGCCAGATCATTAAAGCCACCCACTCTCCTTTATACAACACATGACAGTTTGCTCCCTAAATGAAATATCAAGGTTAAGAAACTTACCAAGTTTCCAGCAGGTAACTCCAAGGTCAGCCAAGTAGAGAATGGAACTGAAGATTCCCTGAAAGCAGCCAGCTCTAGATAAAGCCTCCCCCATCTTAATATTGCATATTTTGTACTAAAAATTTTGCTGGCAAAAATCACAACTGACACCTCAGTGATGAGAATTAGTAAGTATCAACAGAGTCAGAGGGGACAGTCCTTGACGAGTTACCTCTTTGCAGTCTTTTACAATGGGCTGTATCACACTGAGGTCCTGGTGGCTGCCACTCATAGCACTGCTTGTACTTTTATTTCTTGTATGCCCCTTTTTAAAAGGTGTCTTTCCACCTGGCAGAGGCTCTTGTGTAGGTGATGTTGGAGAACTGGACAAGACAAGTGTCTTTAATGCAGCTACTTCAGCTTGAAGGACATCGATCTTGAAAAGAAATCAACATAGTTCCACGTACTAATTTATGTTTTATGACAGATGCAGCTAAATGCTAGCAATCTAGTCAAAACACTATCCTTTCAAAGACGATGTGTAAGTTTAATTTGTATTTGCTGTGGAGTAATAAAAAGAAAGTGAAACCAAGTTGTTTAATGTTTCTATATGGCTTAGTTTTGGAGGCTATTCATGATGTGAAGTGGAATTTTTAAAATTATCAAAATGTCTAACATATAATTCATGTGAATGTTCAAAATCTTCAAAATATAAACAGCTTATGAATAGTTGTGGTTCATTCCTAAAGTAAAAAAATCTAGGAACAGTTTGGTGGGTTTTTTTTTCCCAGCGACTTAAAAAATATTAACTTTAAAATGTGATTATATAATCCTTTTGATAATACATGTGATTCACAAGACTTAAAATCCTTTGGTTCTAGGGCGCCTGGGTGGCTCAGTCGTTAGGCGTCTGCCTTCGGCTCAGGTCATGATCCCAGAGTCCTGGGATCGAGTCCCACATCAGGCTCCCTGCGGCGGGAAGCCTGCTTCTCCCTCTCCCACTCCTTCTGCTAGTGTTCCCTCTCTCACTGTGTCTCTATCAAATAAATAAATAAAATCTTCAAAAAAAAAATCCTTTGGTTCTAATATAAATGAGCACCGACTGTTCACTATTTTATCTGTGTGGTAGCTGCTTTCTATTTATAGTTTCCTGTAGTTTCCAAATCTTCTAAAATAAGCCCTAGTTTACAACAGGAACAAAATCTAATAAATGTTTAAGTATCTTTAAAACAGTAATCACTGATTTTGCATTTTTTTTACTATTAAAGCAGCAAAAACTTACTTTTCCTTGTGCTTCCTTTAGCTGTTTTTCTGCGGCTGCCTGCTTGACATTTGCTTCTCTCACCATCTTATGAGCTTCCTGAAAAAGTTGAAATCTCAAATTTTGGAAACAAAGTATTTAGCCTTTGTTTTCAAAAATCTTTCAACAAATGTCTATGACTACAGCAAAAATACACTACCAAAATTTAACCTGAAAATAAATATTCAATGTCAACTCTTTAAATAGCAATTGTCATCTGATAGGTAAACTGGTAGGAATTAGGGTGTTAGGTACTTTCTTTTAGTACTAATATCACTGATGTAGCCAAGTTGCATTCAATCATCCTGATCAATGTTTGTGTAAAGACTGAATGTGATGAAGGAAAATAAATATCCCACGTGTCAAACCCAACTTCTCTGTAGTCAGGTTTCTGTAATTTGGCCACAATATATATATTCATATTATTAGTCATAGTAAAGATACACAGAAGGGACAAGTAAAAATATTAACACATCAATAATGTTGCAGTTTATAGCAATGACAGCTGAGAAGCCTTAGACCTTCCAATAAAAACATTCACGAAATGATATTGACAATTCTATGCAGAACAATCTAAAAAGGAAAATCAGAGATTAGCCTTTAATAAGGTCTTATTTTTTCAGTACCATTTAAATACTAGACATCTAGGTATTTAATTCCTTTTTTTTTTATATTTATTCATCAAAATTTACTCATGACATCTCTTTGTGAGGTACTATTCCAAGTGTTGATAATATACTGGGAAAAAAAACAAGGTCCCTGTCTCTTAAGGAGCTTACATTCAGTTTACATTCCAATAATCAAATAAAATATCCAACTAAGAATTCTGGGTTTTACTGTAAGTGCAATATGAAACCTTATGATCTTTTAAGGAAGAAAGTCACTGAAATTACTTATATTTTTAAAAAATTACTCTGCTGTATGGAATAGTCCCATAAAAGATTAAGGATGGACTGGAACCATATACAGGGTGCTTGAGATAATCCCTTGGGATTTAAGAACAAGTATGTTAGAACTTCAATTTACAGTTTATGAGAGGGAAGAGAAGGAGGGAGCGAGGGAGGAAGGAAAGGAAGAAACGAAGGAAGGAAGCAGGGAGGGAGGGAGGGAGGGAGGTTGGCTGGCTGGCTGGCTGGAAGGAAGGAAATCAGTTTCCAAAGACGTTAACATGTTTGACAATGGCACCTTTACTAAGTCTATCAACTGTTCAGTGGAAGAGTAAACATTCTCCACATCAGAGTCGGACAGCGGCACTCCCATTTGCTTTTACAGTAGTAATGAATTGCGGCTTGTTTATATGCCCATGAACATGAATTTACAGATCACATTAGCTTAAATAAGAAATGCTTTACTATCAATGCTTTATAATGAGATGAGATTAAGTGTGAAAATCTTCCATGCACAATTATGCTGGTTATCTTGTATCAAAATCCTTAAGAGCTGCCAATTTAATGAGGTTTTCTTTTTAAAATAACAAATGTTTCAGATTTGCTGAATTTTTCTCTGATGACAAGTGGATGTCAACAGATCACTATTTGGCAGATATTTTCAAAATAGTAAACATATCTAATCTGACCCTTCAGGGTAAGTGACATTTCAACTATAAATGCAAAAGTAACTCATGCTAAGGAGAGATTATTTGTTTAAATGTTTGGAAATGGACTCTACTTTCCTTAATAGTGGACTGTGCAACTTGGACCAAACCTCCCATGGAGAACAACTAGAGAAGCTGGACAAAATTTTTTTAAATGTGTCTGACAGCATTAGAGAGCTAACAAAATGTGAAGAACCGGGGGACCAATATCCAGGAGAAGATGTAAACCCAGAGAAGAGAGCTGGAATTTGGGGTGACTTTTCTTCTAGAGGTATGAGGGACACAGTGAAGAGGTGTAACCTACACGTAACTGGAGTTCAAGAGGAGAGAAGAGAGCATGAGAAATGAGGCAGAAGTAGTAACTAAAAAGATAACGCACAGGATTTTGCAAACTGACAAAAGACATTAAGTAGTAGATTCCAAAAAAGTGAAAATTTTCCATCACTCTGTTATTCTAAAGGTGAAGATGATACAAGTATCGTCTATACCAGGAGTCAGGAAACTTCTTCTGTGAAGGGTCAGCCAGTACGCAGTTTGGGCTTTATGAGCCAAGCGGTCTCTGTTGAAGTGTGAAAGTAGCCACAGATAACACATTAACAGTGAATGTGGCCATTTCAACAAACATTTATCATCACTGAAATCTGAATTCCAGTTTTCATGTCACAAAGTACTCTTGGTTTTTTCCCCTAACCTCTTAAAAATGCAAAAACCTATCTTAGCTCAGAAGGCTGCACAGAAGTAGCCATAAGCTAGTTCTGCCCTGTAGGTTGTAGTTTGCAGACCTCTATATAAACATTCATGTCTATTCACTTACAGACTTTGGAAATGGAATTTTCTTCCTATCTGGTTAAGCAGGGATTCAAACGAAGAAGGTGTTTTTCAAATTCTTTCTTTCTTTAAAATAATGTTTAAACTCAACATCTTCTGATTAATTTGCAAAGACAATTTGTTGGTATGAGAGAAGACAAATTCACTACAGAGTATTCTGGAGAAACCTTCACATAACCAGCAATGGAAATGAAAATTGAGGAAAATGGTTTCATACAGGGAAAGATGTACTTCTTCCATTTGGATCCATATATTTGTAAGTTATCAGCCACATTACATCTGATTTAAAAAAAGGAATTTAGACCAGAACTTCATCTGAATCATAAATTGTTAAAACAAGATTTTCGAAAACAAGGTAACATGATCAAACATACTCTTCTCACTAAATATATACACACACACAATATATTTTAGTGAGAATAATTTTGTGCTATAATAAAAAACTTAGTATTACTGACTTGCTTTTTAAAACTGTTTTATAACTTACGTAACACATTAGTGTATATATATAATTTCTAAGTATATATGCTCTTAAAACAGTGCCTACCACATAGGTAACCCTCGATAAATATTACTTATTTTCATCATAATAAAGGTACATGCTCAAATTTTTCTTTTACAGATTGAGTACATGATCTCAACAAAAGTTGGGCATCTATTGGTCTAGGTAAGAAATAATGATGGTTTGTAAAATGCTGTTAGCAATATCACAGTAAAAAGGCAGACGGATTTGCCTTACATTCTGGAGGTACTGTCACGAGATTTTCCTTGTGAATGTGGGATAAAGGAGAGGCCTCAATGAGGACTCCTTTTCTGTGGCCCGAGACAAACGGAAGTACCACTTATGATTTTAATAGTACTTGAAGCAAGGATCAGGGTTATGAATTTGAATCCCAGCATTGCTCCTCAACCTTTTATGCCTCATTGTCTTCACAGATAGAATGACAGTAATTTGCTCTATATGCCTCATAACATTATGAAGAGAAAACTCGGCATCTCATAGACATTTACTAAAACTGGCTGACAAAATGTAAAAGAAAAAAATTTTAAGGCTACCTATCTTTTTCTTTTCCATGTCAAATGAAACTACTTTGTAAAGCATTCTTTCACCTGACTTCATTTTTATATTTATATATCTCAAATATTTTTATATTTATATATCTCAAAATCTGAGACACTAGGTGGGAATATATATACACACACATACATATATATAATTTTAGAATTCTTGTATATAATTTTAAGACCCAACTTTGCTACAAAATGTAATTATATTCCAGATTATTCATACACAACAAATTCCTAATTTGAATTTACATGTTAAGCTTACCAAAGCTATACACATTGTGTTTATTCAAAATAATTTTTAATTCTTAAAAAACTATATATACATATACCTAAAATACAAGCAAAAAATCTTTTCATAAGACAATGGGAAACTGAGATCATGAACACACAACAGACCACAGAAAAACTTCTAGCATCTTTTTACAAAATTCATAAATAACTGGTCTGAATACAATTTTCTTCATTACTGAAATCATCTTTTGTCAGTGTAACTTCTTTCCCAGAAAGTATATATAGTGTCAACGCTATTAGCCATTGTCAGGTCGGGGATAGACCAGGGGCCCAAAACCTTTTTCTTTTCTTTTTTTTTTTTAGATATACCTTTTCACTTATTGCAAAAACTGCATTTCTGGTCCTTCACATTCTGCTATGGAGAAGGAGAAGTTTCCTCCCATTTGTTTTCTTCCTACTTCATCTAACAGAATATACGTGCAAGTGCAGACAAGAGGAACTAAGCAGGGCTAAAATTATGGGCAGGCCAGTGAGAAGCTTAATATATTTGCTTTCTTATCTAGTATCCATATATCATCATAAAATTCTCTTCTGGCCAGACAATACTGGAAGAAAAGTCTAAGGTTTCTGTCTATGCCTTCTACAAACAAAAATGTAATAAGTCGTATAGCTCTTGTCCTCTAGTCTTTGATGACTAGCTAACAAAATAATAATCAGTTTTTAAATGTTCATGAAAGAAAGTGACCCCCCAAAAAAGACAGAGGACAGGGCAAAGGGGCATGGAGCAGAGGGGGCATGGAAAACCCACATCTGAAGAAACCCACATGTAACGTGTTAACAGTGTTACTTGTAATGATAGAAATGGTGTAATATGCAGTTGGTGGGTTATGACTCTCATGACAATGACCAGGTAAATCAACATGAAAACATGTTATTTGAAGAAAAAAAATACAAAATATATTAGGATTACAATTATGTAAGAAAATATGCATACCTCTAAAACTGAAATAGATGTTGTATAAATAAAAATAACAAAAGGGGAAGAAAATTTTCTAAAATCTTTTACTACAAACTTTTAAAAAGAAATTTTTAGAGGAAAAAAAATTAGTATTATCATCTTTTTAAGATTTTATTTTTTTAAGTAATCTCTACACCCAACATGGGGCTCAACTTATGACCTTGACATCAAGAATCACATGCTCTACTGAATGAACCAGCAGGCTCCCCAAAAAGAAATTATTGACAATTGATAATGGCAGTAGTCATTCCAGTAACACATCAACTGTTTTGAACAAGGAACCGTTTTTGTTTTGTTTTTGTTTTTTTTTTCAAGTAAGCTCTATGCCCAGCATGGGGCTCAAATTCATGACCTCAAGATCAAGAATCACATGTTCTACCAACTGAGCCAGACAGGTGCCCCTGAATAAGGCACTTTTAAAGGCTCGAGGTCTTAACCCAAAAAGGGCATTCTATGACAGTGGTTCTTAATCAAATTAAGTACTGTCCTCTCCCCGCTTCCCAGGTTTACAACTTATAAAAGTTTTCAAAATGATCAAGGAGTATGACTAGCATTTTGGGGCCAAAGCCAAGTATGATGGTTAATTTTATGTGTCAACCTGACGAGGCCACTGGATGCCCAGGTATTTGGTCAAACATTATTCTGGGTATTTCTATGAAGATGTTTCTGGATGAGATTAACATTTGAATTGGTATGTTAACTAAGGCAGATTGTTCTCCATAATGTGGCTGGGCCACATCCAATCAGCTGACAGCCTAAATAGAACAAAAAGGCTGATCCCCTTGGAGTAGGAGAGAATTTTCCTGCCTTCACACTCCAAGTGAAACATCAGCTCTTGTTGGGTCTCAAGCCTGTCACTCTAGGGACTAGAACTGCACTATGAGTTCTCCAGTTCTCAGGCCTACGGACTTGGACTAGAACTACACCATCAGTTCTCCTGGGTCTCCAGCCTGCTATCTCACCCTGCAGATCTTGGGAATAGTCAGCCTCCATAATCACCTGTGCTCATTCCATTATTATCAGTCTCTTTCTATATACTGTGTATGTATATATACACATCTTATTGGTTCTATTTCTCCGGAGAATCCTGACTATAACATCAGAAATACAAAATGACAATGTCAACGGCACCCATCATGAGAAACACTGCTCAAGCTGGGCAGAAACTGTGGTCCTGTTGGCAGGCTGGAGATAAACAGGTGGGCCTTCTAACAAGTAGATGTGCCTTCTAACAATCCTCAAACCATCATCTCTCAGCTACCTCAAGGGCTTGCTATCTTTGTTGTGGAGTCATATTATAAGATTACCCTAAAGCAGGCCCTAAATACTTGATAAAAACAAAATTAAAATTTACCTCCTTTCTTTCCACATAGGCATTTTTAAACAACCCCGATACTGGTAGCCCACAGGGTCTTTTCCTTTTCCCATCATTTTAAGTTGTAGACTCTACATTTCTTAAAGATTTACTTTTTCTTAGATGACTTATAAATTATGTGTGAAGCTAAGCATATCTTTTCCAAGATTCCCTCAAAAAACAATTCTATCAATATATAAAAATCAAGATGTTGCTCTTGGCCAAGACGTAAAGAGACCAACCTCAAACAGACTAGCTGTGAGTTCCTCCAATTCCTGTCCAAGTTGATCTCGTACTTTAGAAAGCCTTTCACACTCTTCATCTTTTAACTTCAGTTCCTATGAGAAATCGATCATTTTATTTTGAATTTCCATAGTTTGAAGTTAGATTCAGCAGACTATATAATCTTTACTAATAAAATTACAAAGTATTAATACTCTCCCCTCCTACAATGTTCACACTGAAAATGTTCATTTAGCACTTGCTCTGTGGAAGACAATCAGGCAAATCTAAAATTATAAATAATTCTAACTCACGTATTAAATTTTCATGTTTCTTCCATGAGACATCCAAAGATTAAGTATGATTATATATTACATGTGAAAATAAACAATTAAATGACTTCATTCTTTTTTCCCTTTTCTCTGAACATATTTGTTTCCATCAAGCAAGGAATTTAATTGCATTTATCCATTTCAATAAAAACTCAGTGGGGTTTTTTCATATTTACTTTAAAATTTGTTCACTCATAGATAACTTTATGTACCAAATGGCAATTAGTCTAAAATTTCCACTAGGAGACTATACCCATTTAGTACTGCAACCAGAGGCAAATGATACATATTTGCACTTTAAGAAAAATGTTAACAATAAAATCACACCCTCATTTATACATGACTTCTCAAAAGGTATCAAGTAGATGTTTAAAAAATCCTTTAAGACATAAATAATATGCAATTTTGTATGTTGCCCTAAATTAATCTTTCAAATTTTGGGATTAAAAAATCCAAGCTTCCTATATATTGGTCACAATTACATTAATAAAATAATGGGTTAGTTGTATTGTACTTGTGATAGGAGCATAGTTTTTGAATCCCCCCAAGTCAACTCCTGAAAACCAAATATACCAACTGAAATATCAGAAGAACCCAAAGACCACATCATCAACAACACTAGGTAAGGGAATCCCCACAAATCTTAGACTACGAGAGAACGTGGCTACACTGCCAAGACAGCGGGATCAGCAACTATGCGGAAGGGACAGCATGAAGCAGAAGGGACTACAGAGGTATCCTACGAAGCCTCAAAACCCAAAAATCATTACATTTACCCCAAAAGAGAGGACTTGACCTTAGTGGAAACTGGGAGAACAAATATGAGAACAAATGGAGAAAAAGGAAAAGGGCTCCACAGGCTCCAAGCTGCAGGTGGAGTACGAAACCCTACTTGCAGTCCTGAAGCAGCAAACAGTACGGTAAAGCCCTCAATTCTCAGAAACTGCAGAGCATCCAGCAAAGAGACCCTTCCAGGACACAGCCCACCCCAAGGGGAAAATTCATGGAATCTGAAACCAAACTGCATGGCAGGAATAATGGAGACGGAGAGAGAGAAGGCTCAGACATCAAAGGAGAGAGAGGGTGGCAAGGTTCCAAAGCAAACGGATCACAGAAGGTAGTATAAAAGTATTTTTCTTCTATTTCTAGAAATATCATTTCTAGACATAATGTTAAACCTGTAAAGTTTACAGAGACACTGGGCTAGAGGAGAAAACCTTCTTGAAAAAAGCTTACCTCCAAGAGACAGAAGTGGCTACACAGATACACCAATAACAACAGAAGGGAAAGCTCTTGAACATAAAATTGAGAAAGCTATCTTGGGTTTATTCTACTCCTTCACAGGAGCCTCCTCCTAACAGTCCAGGGAAATCCAATCCATTTAAACATGGAAAACAAACACAAATATGTGAAGCTACCATAATAAAAAAGTTTAAAGGCAAAGCTAAGTCACCTCTATAAGGTAAAGACAATCAGACTGGTATTAAATGTCAATAGCATCTTATGCTAGAAAACAACAGAATACCATTTTGAAGATACTCAAAAAAATGGGAAATGAGGATTTTATATCCAGCCAAAGTGTCCTTCAAGTCCAAGGCCAGAGACAAAGAATTATAAACCTGTAAAACTCTAGAGAATATCTCTTGTATTAAGCATGACTCGGTGATCGAGTAAAGAACAGAGATTCACATAATCCAGAAGAAGCTGGTGAAGCTTTAACACTAAGGACTGGGGGTGAGAAGCAAATACATTTCACTGTAGAACTACAACTAAAAGATGGGCATATCAAGGGAATGAAAAGACAAGCCAGAGACTGGAGAAAATATTTGCAAAAGATGTATCTGATAAAAGACTGTTATAAAAAATATACAAATTCTTAAAACTCAACAGTAAGAAAACAAACAACCTGACTGAAAGATGGGCAAAAGATCTGAACAGACACTTCAAAGAAGATATAGGGAAGGCAAATACACATATGAAAAGATATTCCATATGTCATCAGAGAAATGCAAATTAAAACAACAATGATACACGCTGATTAGAATGGCCAAAATCCAGAACACTGACAATACCAAATGCTGACAAGAATGGGAAGCAATAGGCACTCTCATACATTGCGACTGGGAATGCAAAATGGCATAGCTATTTTAAAAGACAGTTTGGCCGTTTTTTAATCAAACTAAACAGACTCTTACCATACGGTCCAGCAATCGCACTTCTTAGTATTTACCCAAAAGAGCTGAAAACTTATGTCTACACAAAAACCTGCATACAGATGTTTATACATTCATAATTGCTAAAACTTGGAAATAACTAAAATGTCCTTCAGCAGGTGAATGAACAAACTAGTACATCCAGATAATGGAATATTCTTCATTAAAAGGAAATAAGCTACCAAGTCATGAAAAGACATGGAGGAAAATAAATGCATATTATTAAATAAAAGAATCCAATCTGAAAAGGCTACATCCTGTATGATTCCAACTATATGACATTCTGGAGAAAGTAAAACTATGGAGACCATAAAAAGATCAATGGTTGTTAGCATTTAATGGATGGGGAGGACTAAATGGACTATAGAGGATTTTTAGGGCAGTGAAACTATTCTGGATAATACTACAATGGTTGATACATGTCATTATACACTTGTCAAAAACCAACAGAACATACAACAAAGGGAACCCTAATATAAACTCTGGACTCGGGGGGATAATGATATGCCAATCTACGGTCATCAATTATAATAAGTGTAAAATTCATAGTGTTGAGGGGCTGTGCAAATGTGGGGACAGAGTGAATGGGAACCCTGTACCACCCTCTCAATTTTACTATGAACTTAAAACTGCTCTAAAAAATAAAGTCTATTTTTTAATAGGGATAAAGCTGACAAAACAGCTATTTAAATGTTATAAGCTTTAGAAATATAAAAATAACACATACAAACTATAAGAGAAAGATGAAATTAAATTCATAAATTTCTTAAATATTAATGGGAGGTAAAGGGCTATAACTTGAGATGCACAACTCCAGTAGTATAAACCTAAATATATCTAAGGGCATAGAGATTAACACTAAGATAAATTGACTACAATCAAATGATGTAAGAGAAAAACAGTAACTAGGTAAGTTTAGTATTGCTTATGGTAGGGCACAAAGGCAGTATCTAAAGGCCAAGACAGATAGATAGATAGACAAACTTCGATTAAAGAAAGGTAACAACTAGAATGGAAATCAAACCTTCCAAAACACCAAAGAGGAGGACACAAAGAAAACAGAGCACATCGGAAGAGGTCTGTAGACACACACTAGACATTTGAAAGCCCTGTGACAGAAACAAACATAGCATGTTTCTTTATCAATAAATGTGCACAGATGTAACTCACCTAATTAAAAAGAAAATAATTTTCAGATTGGCTTAAAAAAAGCAAAATCCATCTCTATGCTCTAGATAAGAGACATACCTAAAACGAAGTGTCTTCAGACAGATTAAAAATAAAAGAATGGACAGAAATATACTAAAAAATATAATACAAATAAAAATAAAATAGGAATCTGAATCTTGATATCAGACTAGACAGAATACAGGGCAAAAATCATTGAAAACAAAAAAACTTCATAATGCTTGAGACCACAATGCAAAATGAAAACTTTAATAAGATACTGCCACATACAAAAACACAAAGGTAGTCCTAAACAAACAGGAAGGACATACCATGTTCTTGAGTAGAAAGACATCATAAAGATGCCAATTCTCCCTGAGTTAATTTATAAATCTATAACTGCATAAATTTAATGCTAGGTTCTTTCAAACTCTAAAATTGCACTATTTTATAATTACATATGGAAACTAAGTCAATTCATTCAACACTTCCTGCTAGGTGGTCACTATGGTAATCCTCAAGCTACAAAACCAAGTAAGATACTGCTCCCTGAGAAATCTGCACAATCAGTTAGAGCAATACATATGTCATTCATGAAGGCAAAATTCTTGAATAGCTCCCTATCATCTATCAAAGTGGTATAAGCCTCACCCTAAATACTAAAAGCCCTCGACAACACGTGCTCAATTTCCCTTTTCAGAGTTTTCTGGGAGAAATCCATACTCTAAATACTCTAGATCCATACTCTAAAGCTAGAATTTAAACTGATCTGATTCACTGGTTTCACTCCCCAGCCTGAGCCCACCTGTCTGGTCTAATCTCTTCCCCATCAATATCTGACTACTTTCTCTCTATGCTTTGAGATCTATCCTCAACCTACCTCTATGAAGTTGAAATTGTATTTCATGTGAATATTTTTTTTAGAATTTGTACTTTTCATGATCAGAATCTTATATTGTAATATAGTTATTGAAAATTCATTCCTCCAACAAACATTAATTTTGTGTTGCTAGAATGTTAATTTTTCTGTTAACATCAGACATTCATCTAGGTGCTGGAGACACAAAAAAGGAGTGAGACCCAGTTAATGATTTTTACAAATAGCTTGCTGAGGGTAGCAAATCTTTGAACAGATTCACAGGGCAATTTGATAAGGGCTACAGTAGTGATGTATAAACACCAGAAAAAGTAGGAGTTTACCAAATGTAGAGGAAGGAAAGAGTAGGTTTTATGATGAGAAGGGATGTACACCACAAAAAGATAATGCCAGAAAATTAGGTTTATGGCCCATCCTAAAAAGCACTGGCTTGGAAATCAGGTCCTCCTTTAAAGACAAGGGGAGATTATCTCAAGGCCATGGGAAGTCACTGAAGGATTTTAAACAGGATAGCAACAATCAGATTT